CTTCTACCCCCTGTCAGTTTGACATGTATTCTTCTAGAACATTCTCTCTCCTTTCTGTACCCTTACAAGTGCCTGTGTGGTTGTGGTTTATATAAAGGTCTCATGCCATATGCATTGCTCTCTCTTTTTTTAAATGAATAATAACACATCTTGGAGAACTTTCCACATCAGGACACACTGTACTCAGTTCCTTGCCTGCTGTGGCTTTGTGGAGCATGGGTACACCAGCAAGTATTGTCACCCTCCCCACCCATCGCACGCCCCCACCATCCACATTGGCTGTTTGCCAGTTTTCAGGTCATAAGCAACCCTGCAGGGATGGGCTTCCTCATGCCCAGGAGCAAGTGACTCCAGTGGTACTGCTGTGGTCACACAGGTGTGGTTTAAATTGTCAGCAGAAATTCCCAAACTGCCCCCCGGGGCAGCCGTATCAATGTCCCCTTTATGAAAGGGCCCTGGCTCCTCAGCAGGAATTTCTACAGCCTCCAGGCCCTTCCTGGGGTGTGTCCCTGAGTCAGAGCCTGAGGGCTGGCTGGTCAAGCTCCTTGCAGAATCCTGGGCTGGTCGCTTCCCTTCCTGCAGCCATGGTTTCATACCCACTGAGCTGTTTGCTTATGAGGACAAAAATGAGATAAAGGACGGAATGTGCCTACCCTGTGGACCTTGGTAGATGTGAATTTCTCCCCCTGCAGGGGCCAACCTTTAGGGAGGCTCATCCGCCTGACTCACGACCCCCTCTCTCATGAGGCAATCTCCTTGCTTCCTCAGTTTGACAGGGACGTCACTGGCAGTTGGGAGGTCTGCCGGAGGGTAGGCTTGGCCTAAGGATCTGCCAACTTTGAGAAGATACCCTTTCTGTTACCTGGTGCCCCCACCTCTCTATCCTGGGGCATAGAAGGGTGTCTCCTGCCACAGGGTGGAGCCATGGGGCCCAGGAAGTGTGAGGGGTTCTGCAGCTGATCAGGGAAGGGACATGGGTTGTCTCCCTACCCACATTTTCAGCCACAGGCTGTGACCCTGGTGCTAAGCGGTCCCCTGCCCAGGATCCCCACTGCCCTGTTGTCCCTGCATCCTTTGCTGGGACTATCTGAGGCTGTGGCATCATTTGTCGGTCCACTAGGCCAAGGGGATACAGACGTGACAAAGAGGGATGAGGTCTCTGCCATTAAGGCACCTACATCATATTGTCAGCAAATGAGTATAAATAGGTAAATAAGGTTGTTACAGAGTAGGCTGAGTGCTGTGAAGGAAGAAAACTGGGTAACATGGTAGAGAGTAACGTTGGGGAGCACTTGGTATATGATGTCTTTGTCCATTTGGGCTGCTAGAACAAATGTACCAGAGACTGGCTTATAAACAACAAAAATGTATTTCTCATAGTTGCAGAGGCTGGAAGTCTGAGATCAGGGTGGCAGCATGGCTGGGGTCTGGAGAGAGCTCTCTTCAGGTTGCAGATGGCGTCTTCTCGATGTGCCCCTCACGTGGTGGGAGGGCTGAGGCAGCTCTCTGAGGTCTCTTATAAAGGCACTGACCCACCCTCATACTAATCCCCTTCCAAAGGCCCCACCTCCAAGCACCATCACTGGGGGCTGGAATTTGAACATATGAATGTGAGGACACACACACACACACACACACACACACACACACACACACACACACGGTTAGGCCACAGCGCGAGGTGACGAGGGACGGCTCCTCTGAGGTGTTTTAAGACAAGATCTTCAATGAAGCAGGACTCTGGTTGCAGACCTTAGAAACCCCAGTAAAATAACAAGTAGACCCACATCCAAAGAATGAGTGTGTGGGCTTATCTCAGGAGGAAGTCTACAAGTGGCTAACTTCGAGCATGCAGGAATGTAGGCATTTAGATAATTTTGTCAGGAATCTTCTTCCATCTCTCAGTCCTGATCTCCTGTGTTGCCTGCATTTGCATGTAGGTCCCCTCCCTGCAGGTCCTTTCTGCAAGTCCCCAGATGGTAGAAAATGACCAGGATTGGTGTTCTAACTGGGTGAGAGATCATCCCTGAACTAAACTGATTGGCCAGGCCTGGGTCATGAGCTCATGCCAGCAGCTAGGGGGTCAACACAGCCAAACTACATGGACTGAGGGGGCAGAGTGCTGAAGCCCCCTAAATAGGAAGGTTTGGCTTTGACTTCTGGAGAAACGCATAGTGGGCCAGCAACGCAACCCCCTCCCCATCTCTCCAGTGACGGGGTGGGGTGGTGGTGCTGCTGGAGCTCCTGGCAGAGGTGACAGAAAGCGCAAAGAGCTGGGGTGGGGAGGAGAGCTCAACCTGCTGAGGTGGTCAAGAGGGCCCCTCACTCCCCAGATACCTTCTTGCAGCTCCTGGGTCCCCTTGCTTCCTCTGTCACAGCACCAGGACTGAACCTGGCTTCTCTGCCTACAGGCTGGGGCCCTTCTTCTGGGAGGTCTTCCTGTTCCCCTTCCCTGCGTGGGGTTTCCCTAGCTGCCTGGGACAGGGAAGACCCCCAGCTAAAGGAGGCAAGGGGCAGGACCTGCCCCTGCAACAATGCCCAGTGTCACCGACCAGGCCTTTAATGCATCCAAAGAAAGCACAGCCAT